AATAATTTCTGCTAGCTCTTCTATTTCTAAGGGTCTTTCGTCCATAGAAGTATCCTCTTCCTGGGTCTCCTCGTCACCTTCTTGCATACTTCGTTCTCCTTCTCCTTCGGGTGTCCATTCCCGCATCAACTGCCTGACATCCCTAGAGGGTCCCCCTCTCTCTTCTTCTTCTATCGCGTTTACCATTATCGCCCGGGACAGCCAGTCGGCCACAATATTTTCCTTCCCTGGTTTGTATACAATTTCCAAATTGTATTGACTCAGAAACTCTTTCCATCTCGTTACCCTTGCGGAAGATTCCTTTAGCTTCCCCACCCATTGGAGGGGTCTATGGTCCGTCTGGACTCTAAATTTCCTGCCAAACACGTACGGCCTGAAATGATTAATGGCCCACACGATCCCGAGCAGCTCCCTTTCTAACGCGCTATATCTCGTTTCGGTATCCGTGAGGCGCCTGCTGGCGTAAGCAACTGGTCTTTCTCCTTTGTCCCCTTCCTGTGACAATACCGCCCCCAATGCATACTCACTTGCGTCTGTTGTGATGGTAAATTTTCTCGAGAAGTCTGGAAATGCTAACACTGGCTCATCTTGTAGTCTCGTCATGCATTGCCTAATATTGTTTTCCATCTCGGGCGTAATTACCACTTTTTTCCCTTTTTTGAGTAGGTTGTTAAGAGGTACTAGATATTTTGCCATTTCAGGAACAAATCGCCTATAGTAGTTCAATGACCCTAACAATCTCCGTATTCCTTTTATGTCTCTCGGAATTGCCATTCTTTCTATTGCCTCTACCTTGCTTCTATCCGGTTTCACACCCTCTTTCGAAATTGTATGACCTAAAAAATTGATTTGCCTCTGACCCAAAAGTGACTTTTCCGATGACAATTTTAGACCAAATTTCTTAAGCCTTTCAAAGACACTTCGTAAATGTTCCACATGCTGCTCTTCCGTTTTACTGAATACTAGTAAATCATCCATATAGACTTGGCACACAGCTTCGTCGATACCCCTCAAAAACTCATCCATAAGACGCTGGAACGTTATCGGCGCGTTTTTTAAGCCGAAAGGCATTCTTGTAAACTCGTAATGTCCTCTTTCAAACGTAAATGCCGTCTTATGCTGATCATTGGGGTGCATTTTGATCTGATGATAACCTGCTTTCAGGTCCAACGTACTAAAGAATGTTGCTCCGCTCAGTCTATCCAGGATGTCCTCGAATCTGGGGATCGGGTATTTTTCATCTACAGTGTTTTCATTTAGTTTCCTGTAATCTATGACAACTCTATACTTTTCCTGGCTTTCGCCCGGCGCACCCTTTTTTTTCACTGCCCACAAGGGACTGTTATATGGTGACGTGCTGTCTATTATGATACCCTGTTTCTTTAAGTTTATTATTTCTTCTCTGATATGTTGTCTTAACGCATGCGGGTACCGCCTCTCTTTTACATATGTAACTCGATTTTGTTTCAGCGGAATTTCATGAACAGTTTCCCCCGTTACACCTAATACACCGCCCTCCTCGAAGAAGATATCCTCATATTCCTCTTTCAATATTTTCCTCCAGTCTACTGCCTGAGTGATCGCTCCTACCCTTGCTCCGTCATTTCTTATGCGTTTTTCACACTCGTATTTCTTTTTACCAATCCAGAGAGTCCACCGTCCGCCTTTGTTACTAACTTTCGCTCCTACCATTCCTAATAGATCACATCCTATTATCCCATCATATTCCCGAGGCATACTCCCCACTACATGAACCTTTAAACTACCCTCCCTCACGCCCCACTTCTTCAATCTCAAAACCGTTTCCCCCTCTACCGTACATGGGCCTCCCAGGGTGATTAATTTGCATGAACATACCTGAGTCTGGAGTGTCCTTTTGCCAGCGCATAGCCTCTCCGCAGCTCTCCGGCTCATGATAGTAGTTGAACTCCCCGTGTCCACGAGACATCTCACTCCACCTGCTACTCGGATAATGGGCAGACCGCCATACTCGCTCCTCACGCTGCAGTTCAATAGCACGCGGTCGCCCCTCGGCCACCACCCTCCTCAGGCCTCTACTTGCTCTCTCCTTCCATCCACCTGCCAACGTCCGCTCCTTCGCCTGCTTCTCTCTACTTCACCTCCACTGCTCCCTGGCTCCTCAGCTTCTTCATCGGTCTCGGTCGTTTCTGTCGATCTTGACGATTCTGACTGAGTCCTATTTCTTTTCCATACCTTCTGGGCGTTAACTTCCAATGGCTCTTCTTTGGGTAGATTTTTTCTCCGGTGCATGTAGGGACAGTGTCTAGCGATGTGTCCCTCTGTGCCACACTCAAAACATTTAGTGCGGGGGCATTGTGCCACTAGGTGTCCAGGTTTGCCACATCCGTGGCACTTACGGTCCTCTCTTCTTCCGAAGGGTCTAGATTTTCTCTGACTTTGCCTCCTCCCTTCAGCCATTCCTCTCTCCTTTTCATCATATTCTAAATCCCTCCTCTTCCTCCATGTTGCTGGTGTGATTCTTGGTTTTCTGTATGTCACCCGATTCCATCCTGACTCCTCTATCTCCATCCGGGCTTCCTCTTCGCGCGCGCTTGCGTCGATCATTTCTTGTGCGCATTCAACGAACGAGCGGTCTCTGGGTAGGCCATCCTTCTTTCCCGTCTCTCTGGCCAACTGAACTTTTAGGATTGATGACAAGAATGACATCTTTGTTTCTACTTCTGCCGCGCTTGCCGTTTCACGCATCTTTGCCATTATCTTTTTATATTGTGACAAAAGTTCTCCAGCATATTGCCCATAAGCTTGTTTAGGCTGTCTTCTTTCTCTAAACATGTGAAATATGTCCTCTTCTGGAGTCCATCTTCCGCCTCCATACGCCTTTTTTAATCTATCCTTGACAATCGCCCAAGGGGTTTCTTCGTCGGCTTGGATTAGGTTAAGAATATTCCTTTTGACTCTGCAAACCAGATCTGCCTTAATTGAATTCGCATCTCCTGTGTCAATTAGTTCTTCCGCTATTTTCACCTCAATCCGCTTCATCAACCGATCACCGGCTTTTAGGAAATGGTTCAATTCACCGGTTTCCCCGGTGAATTTTTCTAAATCAGAGACCGCTTTTCTTAAGTCTTGAGAAGTTGCTGCCCGCACCTTTAACCAAGCCAGAGTGTTCGCATGACACTCCACTAACGTGTCTCTTGGCATTGGTGGGATTTGCCATTCCACTTGCTGATTTATCATCTCTCACTGTTTAGCTTTCTTAGCGTGAACAAGTAAAAAAAAATAATACGATACTCACGTATACTTCTAATACTGCAGTCCTGGCAACACAAGGGTTTCGGCACCAGTTAACTATTGGCTTCGATAAATAGAAAAATGAAGAAACAAATAACTGGAAATAATTCAATAGTTTTTATTTAACAACAAACAGTAGTATCTAACTCAAAAAAAGGTTATAACAGTATATATTTTAACATGTGTTTATTTTAAATTGCAAGAAATAATAATGTGTTTATTTTTAATTGAAACAAATAATATTAAGTCTTATCTATCTCACACCGGACCTTAACTTATATATATTGTAATGTCAACATTACATGGCATATAAATAGTGGCGCAAAAGTGGCAACAGCATGAACTACAGGCGGATGGTGGGGGAAGCAAGCTCATGTAACTCAGACTGCGACGGCCCGCCAAGAGGGAAGGTGCTAGCGGCCAAGAGAGAAGGTTATGAGCCGCCAAGAGAAAATGTGACAAGCTGTCAAGAGAGAAGGTACTAGCCAGCAAGTTGAGAAAATAGAAAGAGCCACAAAGTTTAGACTGGGACAATCAAGGTTTTTGAATGTATAATTTCTTAATGTATGTATCTCGTTTCTTTATATGTATTTAGTAATTAGTAAATTATAGTTATTAAATGTTGAATGAGTGTTCAGTTGTCAGAACCCAACCTGAGAATTGATGTTATGTGTTAAAATAAATAATATATTAAAAAGTAAACTCGTTGTTTGATTTATGTTGACAAAGGGAACGTTACGACATATATATATATATATATATATATATTTTTTTTTTTTTTTTTTTTTTTTCTGTTGGCGCTACAGACCATGAAGATCTTTGACCACGAGTTTAGTCTTCTAGACTACATCCCGATTTCCGATTTAAAATACGGGGTAGGGTAATCAATCCTACGTCCAGTCGGTGTGAGTTTTATCGGGTCTATTGTTTTTAATGAATAAATAGGTAATCTTTTTGTTTGTTTTCAATTAGGAATGTTAATATAGAGGACAATAACCCTTAATCCTTAATTAAGTAAATTAATCCTTAATCATTAATGAAATGATTCTAGATTCCAATGTTTACTTTCTATGGAATCAAAATGTTTATTCAGTATCATTAGTTCAGTGCCGTTTCTTGCAGCATATTTCATAGTCTCCGGCTTTTAATTTTTTCAATATTGAGTTTAAAAATGCCTCTTAGTGCTGAGGATGTTGCGCGTGGTGTGGCACTTATCGATGATGGACGTTCCATTAGATATGCAGCTAATGCCATCGGAGTTCCATATGAAACTTCACGAGATGCCGTAAGGCGTTTTCGGGAAACTGGTTCTTGCAATAGAAGGCCCGGTTCTGGACGGCCTAGGGTAACAGAACCACGGGATGACCAGTTTTTGACTTTGAGAATTTTATGAAATCGGCACCTTACCGTTGTTCAAGCGATTCATCAGCTCGAAGAAGTTCGAGGTGTGCAAATTTCTGAACGTACAGCTCGGAGAAGATTAAATGAGTATGGATTAATGGCTTTTCGTCCAGTAAGAGGACCAGATTGACCAGAACTCACAGAGCAACACGGCTGACTTTTGCTCGAGAACACAGCCATTGGACTATGGATGAATGGAGTGCTGTACTTTTTACAGATGAGTCATGATTCACTCTTCGATCTTCAGACGGGTGTGAAAGGGTGTGGAGAAGAAGAAACGAATGATATGCAGCCTGTAATTTTTCCCTTTCCAACGTGGTTCCTTAATGGTGTGGGCTGGGATTTCAATGGAGCACCGTACAGAATTGGTTGTTGTTCGTGGAGGGTCTTTGTTGGCCATTCGCTATGTAGATGAGATTTTGGAACCTCGTGTGTTGCTTATCCTCAACGAAATCGTTCTATTCTAATGCACGATATTGCACGTCCACATGTCGCCCGCATAGTGCAGACGTTCCTTCAACAGAACAATATTGAGGGTTTAGCCTGGCCAGCAACTCCAGATTTGAACCCCATTGAGCATTTATGGGATAACCTCGGAAGACGAATAAGAGCGCGTGCAACACTTCCAGATACACTGCAGGACCTTGAACTTGAAAGGGCTCTTCGGGAGGAATGGGCTATCCTCCAGCAAAGGGACATTTCCCGAAGTATGCCGAGGCGTCTTCAAGAAGTAGTGAAGGCAAGAGGAGGAAACACGCGCTACTAAACGATGATGTAATTAATTTCTTTTAGAATAATAATGGTTTATTTTCAATTTGTTTTTCTCATATCTTTCTTCCAAAATTCCATAAATACTAAGTATTATCTACAAATACCATGTATTATATACAAATACAACTTTTTTAACAAGTGGCAGAAATATTTTTAGATGAAAACATGAAAAAATCAAGTGGGTGGAATTTTTTGCCTGTCCGTGTATAATTTCAAATTAAATCTTGAAACTATACCTATCTACAAAACAATATCAGTTCTTATAGTTGTTAAGTACAATGAAGCACGACACTAAAAACTTATTAATCTGAAACAATTGCAAAACGCATCACACAGTTATCCCCATCCAACATCATGTGTTAAATGCATGAATTAAGTAATTAACCCAAAGGTGGGGATTCGTTAGAACCTGAAGCTTACATCTCCGCTTCCAACGGAAGGGTAATTTACAGAATTAACCTTGAAATTCTCTCCTGTGTATGGTAGAAGTTTGCTGTTGTAGTATAAATTTGCATCAGAACGATTTCTTTCGGAATCTACTTTGTATATTGTTTTAGAAATTTTTCGAATTATTCTAAAAGGTCCTTTTCATATTTCTTCTAGTTTATTCCTGTTTAACTTTTTGCCTGCTTCTATGTACACTAAATCTTTTTTTTTTTTAATGTATAATTTTTCTTGTTTCTATCTATTCACACACACACACGTATATATAAATATATATATATTTTTTTCTTTCTTTATTTTATTTATCACGATCCAGGCCAACTATGGACCACATGTATATCATTCTCAGATTTCTTTTTTTTTTCTTATATATACAGTGGCTCACAGTGATATTGAGACACCCTCTAGAAAAGTAGAAAAAAGGCTTAGATTGTCACGATAAACAAATAGAACCAGAAAATATTCAACAGGTTTATTTATGATCTAAATTTAAATATGTATGAACTCAATAAAATTAAATTATTCAACTGCGATTATTTAAAAAAAAAAAATGGAAGATTTTACTTTACAGTTTACAGTCAAAATGATACACATAACTTCTTACTAACTTTTAAATACTATTAATTTAGTTCAATACATTTTAGGCAAACCATTATTTTCTACCACTTCTTTTAGTCTATTTGTTATGAAGCCGACCAATTTTTAGGTGAATTCTGGGCTTAGCATGTTCCATTCTTCAAGGAGATATTTTTTTAAGTCTTCTTTGCTACTAATTTCGTGTTTTCTAATTTCTACCTTCAATTTTTTCCATAGGTGTTCTATCATATTAAGATTTGGTGACTGTTGTGGGTTTTTTATAATTTTGGGGCAGTTATAAAGTAGCCCTTCCTTAACTAACATGGTTGAGTGTTTTGGGTCATTATCCTGTTAAAAACAAAGTTTATTGGTGTATTTGTTTGTTTTTTTAGCCCCAACTTTTCCGTACTTTCTTTCAAGTTTCTTCTTAAAATGTCTATGTAAACATTTTTATTGCTTTATTACACTTTTGACACAAGAGTTTAACTAAAAGAAAATATTTTAAGTTAAACAAATATTTGGAAAAACAAAGGTGTATCGTTTTCACTGTGTGGTTAATCAATCATAAATAAATATGTTAATTTTCATTTTTATCTGTTTATATACACAGAACATATTACTAGGATGTTTATTGTTTAAAATAAATTATTGTTTTCATTGTAATATAAATTGAACTATTTATTACCAATTTTTTTTTAGGGCTGCATGTTTTAATTATTTATTTAATTATAATAAAATAATTAAGTGCCACAAATTTTTTTTTTTAGTTCCTCAAGATTGTCAGTAAGGATTCATAGATCTTTTGCAGCCTTGACAAGTCTATTCCATCTCTGCCTATCTTAGGCTATTTCTTTTTAGTTGTCTGCATACAGCTCTATTGCATCTTTGTTGATTCGATCTATCTATCTGCTTTTTGACCTTCCATGTGGTCTTTTGCCTACTGTTGAGGCATTCATTGTCATGCAGAGGCTTCCAGATGGATTGTTCCGAGCTTCATTCCCCACCCATCTTAACCTTCATGCCTTCATATCATGAAGTATCGATTAACCAGTTTCTGTAAGCAGGTCTTTATTGGTATTTCTTCTCCATGTGTTAGTACTCTGATCCCAGATTGCTCCGGTTATTGTGTGGAGGATTTTTCTCTCAAATCTTTCTATAGTGCTGATTAATGTCCAGGTCTTTCAGCCATGTATCAGAACTGACTTTATCATAGCATTGTACACCCTCAATTTGAGATTTTTCGGGATTTCAATAGCTTTATTCAATATATTGTTTAAACAAATAAAAATACGCACAATGAAAATAAATGAATTCTCAGAAATTCTTGTGGGACTTCATGGCACTTAATTATTTATTATAATTAAAATATACAGCTGTAAAAGAAATTGGTTAGTAATGAAAAATACATAAATTTAATAATTGGTAATTGGTTGACTGTCGTGGATAATGAAGAGAAGAATAGTTGGGGTGGTCAGTCAAAAAGGAAGGCAAAAAATAAATGATAATATTAATTTTTTACATATGCCGAAGTTTCGACCTGAAGTTCAGGCCTTCATCAGGGCTAAGAAAATAACCAGATAACAAGGTATGAGAAACATAAGTAGTGATGGTAAAAAAAAAAAATAAAATAAATAAATAAAAAGTAAAATGAAATTGTTAGAATAATGACTAGAGAACTAAGAGATAAATAATAATAACCGTTACAGAGTGTGGAATGATGAAGTAAGCATAATCAAAAAGGGTGACATAAGTGTTACAATGGGAATCTTAGAATAAAATGTAAAACATAAAAAAGAAATATGAAGTTATATAAGAAATGAAAATAAATAGTAAAATTAAGACATTGAGAATGGAGTAGTTAGATAGAAAATTGAGATATTGTAAAGTCTATCAAGATGTACAGACAATGTATAATATAATAAAGAGTTAAAAACAGAGAAAAGGAATGAAAGGAAGGAGGGAAGAAATTGAGAAAGCTGAAATAAGAAAGAAATAAAAAAAGTACTACCTGTCTCCTTAAGTGTTGCAGGGAGAATAAAAGTCGTTACAAGGGAGGGGGAGAGAGAAGAGATGTGTAGGTGGCGTCATCTCTAACGGTTATCCGACGAAGTTTGAACTAAAGCGCTGGAAGCGTAAATAGGTACGAGAGATATATTACTCAGAAAAATTATGGAAAATTGAACAAAAATTAATAGAAAGTGAAAGAAAAATTCAAAAGAAAAATAACTATTGAGTAATAAGGGAGAATAATTGAAATAAAAATATATTATATATATATATATATATATATATAAGGAAGTTGTCTGCAAAAAAGAAAGGAATATAACTATGGATGTTTTAATAAATACAGAATTTGGGAGTAGGCTAAAGAAAAGTTCTGTTTGTCAGTTTTTAGATTCACTGTCTTTGGTTGAAGTTGGATTTGGAGGGTTTCAGAAATGAGTCGTTTGTCATGGTTGAGAACTGTGGCAAGGATGGATGTTTTGTCGAAATCAAATGAATGATTGAGGGAGAGAGAATGTTCGGATAATTTGGAAGCGGTAAAATTACGAGAGGATACAGAATATTTATGTTGGGTTACGTTGTACTGTAAAATTGAGGCGGGGGTGGTAAGAGTTAAAATGTGATAGGATATCGGGAATTTTATTTGGATTGATGATTAGGAGGAGGTCGTCTACGTATTTTCGAATAAAGATGATATCGTCAGGGTAAAGAGGGATAATGGAGTCTAGAAGATCATTGAGAACGATGTTGGAGATGTCGGGAGCGAGGGGGTTACCCATTGCTAGTCCGGAGATTTGGTTAAAAAATTGTCCTTGGAAAGTGAGGCAGCCTGATTTACAGTATAGATAAAGGGATTCGAGATATGAGGAGCGGTTAAGTGAGGTGTGAGGTTCAATGATAGTCCAATTGTCGTCTATTATAGTAAGTGCCTTGTCTATGGGTATGTTCGTAAATAAACTTTCAACATCGAAGGAGCAAAGAATGAAATTGTCTGGAATGGTAAAGGAGAGTAGCTGTTCACGGAGATGGAATGAATTTTGTACATCATAAGGATTGTTGTGGCTGAAGATTTGTAAGGAAGGTAGTAAGAATTTGCTAAGTTTAACAGAAGGAGAATTAATGTTGGAAGTTATCAGACGAAGTGGGGTGCCGGGTTTGTGGATTTTAGGAAGTCCATAAAAACGGGGAGCAACTGAATTGTAGGAGATAAGGTTTTTGTAAGTAGGATAGTTTATGAGTTTAGAATTTAAAAGATTTTTTAGATGTAGGTTAAATTTGGTTTTTAATGATGAGGTGGAATCACGGGATATAGGAGAGTAAGTGGAACGTATTCTGTACGATCCATAATTACAGTTTTGTTGCCTTTATCAGCTCTGGTTATGATTAATCATAAAAAAAAATTGTCCTTCCAAATTATCCGAACATTCTCTCTCCCTCAATCATTCATTTGATTTCGACAAAACATCCATCCTTGCCACAGTTCTCAACCATGACAAACGACTCATTTTTGAAACCCTCCACATCCAACTTCAACCAAAGACAGTGAATCTAAAAACTGACAAACAGAACTTTTCTTTAGCCTACTCCCAAATTCTGAATTTATTAAAACATCCATAGTTATATTCCTTTCCTTTTTGCTGACAACTTCCTTATATATATATATATATATATATATATATATATATATATATATATATATGTGTGTGTGTGTGTGTGTATGTATATGTATATATATATATAATATATTTTTATTTCAATTATTCTCCCTTATTACTCAATAGTTATTTTTCTTTTGAATTTTTCTTTCACTTTCTATTAATTTTTGTTCAATTTTCCATAATTTTTCTGAGTAATATATCTCTCGTACCTATTTACGCTTCCAGCGCTTTAGTTCAAACTTCGTTGGATAACCGTTAGAGATGACGCCACCTACACATCTCTTCTCTCTCCCCCTCCTTTGTAACGACTTTTATTCTCCCTGCAACACTTAAGGAGACAGGTAGTACTTTTTTTATTTCTTTCTTATTTCAGCTTTCTCAATTTCTTCCCTCCTTCCTTTCATTCCTTTTCTCTGTTTTTAACTCTTTATTATATTATACATTGTCTGTACATCTTGATAGACTTTACAATATCTCAATTTTCTATCTAACTACTCCCTTCTCAATGTCTTAATTTTACTATTTATTTTCATTTCTTATATAACTTCATATTTCTTTTTTATGTTTTACATTTTATTCTAAGATTCCCATTTTAACACTTATGTCACCCTTTTTGATTATGCTTACTTCATCATTCCACACTTTGTAACGGTTATTATTATTTATCTCTTAGTTCTTAGTCATTATTCTAACAATTTCATTTTACTTTTTTTTTCTTTATTTTATTATTTTTTTTTTTTACCATCACTACTTATGTTTCTCATACCTTGTTATCTGGTTATTTTCTTAGCCCTGTTGAAGGCCTCAACTTCAGGTCGAAACGTCGGCATATGTAAAAATAAATATTATCATTTATTTTTGCCTTCTTTTTTGACTGACCACCCCAACTATTCTTCTCTTCATAAATTTAATAAATTTGGAAAAACATATGATAATTAATTGCTTTAAAGAATATGTCGAACGATGAACAGACCTATTTTTATTCAAACTAAGTGATTGGTAAGTGAAAGTTCTGTGACGTGCCTCCGATTTTTTCAATTTTTGAAAGACAAATTTAAATTGAATTCATAGGTAATTGCTGCAATAGTAATTTAAAGTTTTTTCATTGGCAGTTATGGTCATATTTATAACTACTATGCTTATGGTTGTTGGTTTTGTTAGTTCCAGAAATTTCTTATAAATCTATTTAATTTCCTTTTCCTTTTTATTGAGTTTTAAACAGTAGGTTACTTTTTTTTCTTCAGTTTCAACCGTTAAAATGTGGGCTTTTAAACAAGCTACTGCCTTAGGTATTAAAATGGAAATTTTGAACCGTTTATTAATGAGTGCTTATACCACAGAAGTAAATTGTTCATTTAATCTGTCTGAGTCAACCTTAGGAATGTAAATATCAATATTTTTCAAATATATTAAAATGATAAATAATTTTTCTATGAAAAACAATTATTTTAGGTCTCGATATTTTTAATCTTTGAAAATTGTAGAGATGATAATATCAAACAATACATGTAGTATCAATATCCTTCAAATATTTCGAAATATTTTTTAATTTTTGAAAGAAAGAGAACAGGATAACATTGAATTGAAGTCATACATTTCTAATAGGTTTAGTAGCAACAATTAAATATTTATGTAATGCATATTATACCAGAAATAGTATCCGGTCATTAAGATTGATAAATTGATGATTTTTTAGCTAAATTTATTTTTAAAAATGTTATTAGAAACTAGAGACAAAATCAATTAATTTTTTTAAAGGCTAAAATTAGTTATTTTATTAAACACTAATATTATAAAATCAATATTTAGTTTAGCCGACGTCACGAGTTTTCTCTTATTTGTCCCACTGTGCGCCCTACCCCACTCCTAACTTACCCGACTCATGCTTGACTCGTCCAGTTTCTTTTCAGACTTCAATTAGATGTTGTGTTCGAAGTACAGTTTAGTTTTTTTAGTGTAGTTCTTCAAAAAAATCAGCAGTTGAAGGTGAAATTGCTCCTCTACTCCCGAACCATAGTCTCCAAACCGAATATTCTCTCTCACCAAATTCCTCTCTGTATTTCTCTAGCAGATATGGTATGCATTTGCCATAGATTTCCTCCATTTCTTTTTGTATCCTATGATCCTGATTCTCATCGTTTGTTTCAAATCTAATTGTTGGATCAACTATCAGAGCTTCTTTTCCTTCAACTTTTGATTATTAGGCTGAGGTTGCTAAATGTGCCGAGAGATTAGGGGTTGATCGAGGATATTGGGATATGAGAGCTCTACAGTAGTTACTACGAGAAAACTCGTTTGAGGAATGGGTCGATTGCAGGCAGCAAGACATTGGAGTTTGCCATTTTAAAGAGACCCCGAAAGCGAATAAAGAGATGTATGAAAAACAATAATTTCTGGGTCTGAATGGTCAAATGCCCTGAAACTTAATATTAATTATGCACCCCTACATGGAATTCTAGGTGTCAGCGGACAGGTGTATAAGATGAACTTTCTCTTATTTCTCCCCATATTTTCCTCTCTCTCTTCCTAACTTAATTCATACTTTCTGATAACACTTTTACAATAATGACGAGGAAAACAACAAAAAAAAAGTACACAAATTGTTTAAAAAAATAAATAAAATTAATATATACAACTATAGTAGACTTGTTAAATAAATAATACAAAAAAGTTGTAACATATACATGACTTTCCCCTCATGAACAAACTCTCCCTGTCCGCTATGCATGTGGTGGGATAATTTCCAGAGAGTCAAGGATTATATGCTCTGCCAACCTTGCCATGTCCTTTATGTCGAAACCAAGGCCTCTCAGGTTGAACTCCCTCGGCTTGAAACTTTCGCGAAACTTTTCATTAAGGAAACGGATGCATTTATCATATGTTTGGCTTTTTTCTCTTTCCACTTTGCCTGATGATCAAGGTCATTGGTTTCATATCTCATGGAAGGATCCAAAATCATCGCCGACTTTCCCATCTTAGGGAAGGCTACAATTTCGGCATATCATGTGGATCCATCTGTATCAATTCTCTTGATCTCTTGAAACAGGTCTCTCTCTCTCCCTCTCCCTCTCCCTCTCCCCCTCCCTCCCTCCCTCCCGTTGAAGTTGAATGCAGACAAAATTCAGGCTATTCTCATTGGGTCCAGATATTCATTAGTTCCCTACCTTACTCTCCTCTATTTTACCTCTATAACCACCACATCCATTTTTTCTCTACAGTCAAAAATTTATGAATAACCTTTGAGCAGAAACTTTCCTGGAATAACCATATCTCCCATTTTACCTGAAAATCTAAAACTATCTTTGAACAATTACTAAGATTCCGTGGTTGTATTCCTCTATAAACCAGACAGCTCCTTGTATCATCCCTTATTTCCCCCCCCCTTGATGAATTGCTTCATAAGATACATCTTTGGTATTCCGAGCCATTCTCATGTGTTTCCTGCCGGCACTCTGAGTTGAAGTGCTTTATCCTACTTCCCGACAGCAATTCGTTTTTGGTATTTTTCTTTTCCAATTCCTCAGAACCAAAAACTCTCCCTACATAATGGAACTCCTTACTTTATGCTGCTCTATCCACTCACTCAATACCAGAACTCAACCTATAGATTTATATATCCCCTCCCATAAAACTACTTCCTTCAGCAAATCCTTCGTCATTCATGCTACCTCTTTTTGGAACTCTCTACCCACCTCCATTCGTCAATCCTTATCCACAAATTCCTTCAAACAACTCCTATTCCAACACCTACTTCATATTCAAACTTCCGTAAAATCTATTTACTTCTGTATGTTGTATAGTTCAACTAACTGTGTATTTTCAAATGATATTAACAGTTAATTAAACATCGTTCTGTATACTCCAAGCCAGACTAATGTTCATAATTATGGAACACTGTTATTATTCTTAGGAAACTGTAGTCCCAGAATAAAATTATTTTTTCATTCATTCATTCATCTATAGATGAAAGACGAGATGACAGTCTTCAGATGGTGTCAATTGAATGGGAAGAAGACACTGGAATTGTTTTGGGGAAAACAGTTTCTGAGGATGAGGTCTTTGAGATGTCCATGAGGTAAATAAATTGCATTATGATTTTCAAGGCTTGAGTTCCTTTTCAAGAGAAATCTAATAGGGATAACCAAGGTTCCAATCCTGAACATTATGAAATACCAACAGATCGTCTTTCACAGACATGTCCTGATAATCCACATTTCAAAGAGACATCCAGTAGAAGCTAATAGAATCAAACTTTTGTCAATTGAGAAGAAAAATAGAAATGAAGACGATAAACAGCCAACAGTGAGCTCGGTTCAATTCAATATGAAAACATGTTCAATTCATGAAGTGGTTACTTGACCATTTACTCCAATTTTTTTCCTCATAGTCAGCCAGATGTATTTTTTTGTGAGAAAAACACATGCTAAGTAAAGGGGCTGCCTCCTAATCACCCGGACATGCCTTTGAGTCAACAGGCTCTAGCCCGCCTCTAGTATCAGATGGTTTCATTACTTCGCTATGAAGTAGTACTGCATGAATATGGCTTTCAGCAGGCAAACATCATTTCAATTTATATAATCATTTAAAAATGAATCTATTTAAGTAATTTATTAATCAGAGTATTATATTCTACATTGAATTGTTTGTTTTAGGTATCATTATACTGTGTTGAAATTCAAAAGTTAAAAGAAGAAATTGATACTAAAAATATGAAATTAGCTGAAGTTCTAAATGTTCAAAAGAATGGAGATGTATCTGAAAGCTACGACAACCAACATGATTCTTTACAATGTGATTATCTGTGAGTATTTAGCTACTTCAATTTCCAATTATTTTTTTTATGAATTTAATTGTTTAATTGATTATGTTTGGAATATAGTTTATCTTTTAATTTAAATTATGCATATATACACATACATTGGTATGACAAAGTCTTTCAATAAACTAAATTTTTACTATTATTATTAGCTTGGCTCTACAATCCAGTGTTGAATCCTGCCCTGCTCCAGTAGCTTCCACCAATTGTCTTGGTCTCAAATTCCAGATCCTCAGTATATTTGTTGCATCAACAGCAGCACCATCGACATTGTGTAGCATTAGTCTACCTGTTCTGGTTCCATGGGGTGGCTCCATCATCAGTTGTATTGGTGGACCCTCACTGCCCATCCTGATGTGTCCTGCCCATTTCAGTCTTGCAATCTTCATCATTCGAACTACATCAGGCTCCTTAAACATGGTGTAAAGCTTCTGGTTCTTCCTCCTTATTATTACGAGAACACCACCATAAATACATCTGGGGATTCCTCTTTCTTTAGTATTTGACTTTAGTCTTCTTGAATTAGTACTCTCTGAAAGTCACCTCCTCTCCAAGTCTAAGCACCTTTCCTGTAATCATATATTTTGTTTTAACAGTGTTGACTTCCAAGCCAAGTCTTCTTTCTGGACCCACAAGAGTAAGGAAAGTATCCAATACAGCATGGAAGGAGCGTCGTACGATGTCTATATCATCCGTGTACTTAAGGAGCTGTACATATCTATTCAAGATGTTGCCTTTGGTTTGTATGCCAGCACCTCTCACTGCTTTCTCGAGCACAAGATCAAAGAGAAGACTGGCTAAGGTGTCACCCTGGTATAATCTTTTTCCTGAGGAGAATTCTTCCAACCGATTTGATTTTCCAACAAATTTGAGCCATGCATCTAATGTTATTCATTTTAAGCCTCACAAGGCTTATGAGTTTGCTAGGGATCTTAAAATGCTTTAGTTTAGAGCCTCAATCAATTCTTCCCTATTCACACAATTGTAAGCTGCTCTAAAATCGATGAAGAGGTGGTGAGTTTTAATCTTGAATTCCCTTCCTCGCTCCAGTTCTGAGGCAGAATATTTGATCAGTCGTAGACATGCCCTTTCTTAATCCGCACTGGTACTGACCAAGTACCCTCTCTGCATGGGGTAACAGAGGCTTATAGAGGATGTTTTAGAGGACTTTGTATCCAGCAAATTGGAGGGAGATACCTCTGTAGTTGGAGCATGTTAGTGATGAGCCTTTAAAACACTGATTTTTTTTACTCAAAATCATTTTTTAGTCAATTTTCTTTCATGTGTAAAAAATAAATTTATTTATAAATTATATATTTTTAATATTTGTGACCCCAGACATATTGTTCAGGGAAAACTATCATTAAATAGGGAAAGTCAGGGAATTTTACTGTAACTGTCTTTTAGCCACCCTGTTAAATTACAAAAAAAAAAAAAAAAAAAAAAAAAAAAAAAAAAAAAAAAAAAAAAAAAAAAAAAAAAAGGAATTCCAATATTAGAACAATTTTCATAGATACACTCAGCTTTCTAGAGTTAATACAATGGTTCACGATGTTGAGAACAAAGGGCAAAGAATGACTGAAGTGGCTAACGAAGTATGGACAATGAATGAATTATTTATTTATTTTATTTGTCAAAGAAAACAATTTTAGATCTTGAGTTAGGCACTAAGATCAAACATAACAATACCATTCATAACATTGAATCAATAACATAGCCTCATATCAAATTAATAAATAATATGAAATGATAATAATTTTTTTAACAAATATTTTAGAGATATTAAATAAATAAAAATATAAATATACATAACATAACATTTGTTTATAATGATTAATTATACCACTTAACAGTTTAATGAATAGCCTATTACGAAATAGTATAGTTGGTTTAGTTTTTCCACACAGTCTATTTTTATGGGTGATAAATATTCAGGATGCAGTCTTTTTAAAAAAAATTGTTTTAATTTCTTATTTGTGCCAACGTTTCAACTCAAATATGTGGGTCATCTTCAGGGCGTGGTTTGAGTACTGACGTTGGTACAAATAAAAAATTAAAAAAATATTTAAAAAGACTGTGTTCTGAATATTTATCACCCATGATATGTAGAACAGTCGACTAACTTCCTTCAATAATTTACCTATTTTTAATATATCTATTACACTAATGTTGTTCCTTGATTCAACAATAAATGTCTTTAAGAACTTATTCCTTGATCCAACAAATTTACTGCAATGAATTACAAAATGAGGCATTGGGTCAGTCACAAAGCAGTTTCAAGCTCCACACACTTTGTTATACTTAATAATGAAGGCAACGTCTTTTATGATTACCTATATCTTTCAATCTTCCGAATATATGTAAAAATAGTTATTTTGTACTTTAGAGATATCAGCTACATTTTATTGATATTTTGCAGATATCTATGTATGTGCCATATTGCTTATTTGTAAATATACGTGAACTTACTCGTATTTATTTATTTTTAAACTCATATTTCTACTTCAAGATCAAATATATACTACAGTGTCTCTTCTTTATTTTAATATTAGGGTTAGACAACTTTGTAAATTAATTTATTTTTAATTGTACTCTAAGGCCAGACAATTGTCATTACGTTGTTCATTATAGTTATTCTGAGGGGACTAAATGTCCCAGAATAAAATTCACTTTCTTTCTTTACAAAGTCATCGCTTGCAACTCTGAGATGAATGACGGCTCTTAGTTTTTTTTAAATTTGGAGCCTTGAACTGCAAGCACTCTTCTGGTCCGTGTTATTAAAGGAACAGGTTTTTTTATATCTAGAGTTTGATCCAGCATTTAGTACTCTATCAATATCCTCGAATGCCTGATGGTTTTTAATTTTTCCATGATTTTGTCTATGAACTTCCCCAGACTGGGGAAAAAAGACGTGAGAACAGCTCCTGACACCCTGATTCTGCAACAATCATCTTTACTTGTGTGACCCAATTATATATTGAATCAGTTTTTTCTCTAGGTGAATCCAAATATCTAAGGCTATTAAAGCATTGGCTATGTAGTCTTTCATCACTTATTAAACTCAGATTTGTCCAGTAGTTAATTACTTTTTTAACATTTCAATGCTTAGTGGAGATCTCCTCGTTTCAAAGAAAAATATATATATATATATGAACAATAAGGTAGCATTATTCTGAAGACAAAAAAAGTCAACACAACAGATTGGTCTAGGTATATATATTATGTATATAGCTGTCACAGTCTGGCCAGAGACAGCCATCAGTCAACATACCTCTATATTGTTGCGTGTTTTGTTTTGTTCATATTGTTTGATTTTTACCATTTTTTTTTCTTATATTAATTCCTCAACTATATATTTCATTGACAGTTCGTGGCCCCTCACAGTTTAACGAGAAGTGAACGTAATTAAATTATAAACTATTACGAGCTATGGGACTGTAGTAAACAACTTAGTTCGATAGGATTAAGCCCCCCGGTTGTCTTACGGATCATAACATCCCATCTTATTATTGTGAGTACAACTTATTTACGTTATATTAATATGGCTCATTGCCCGATATGCAGCAGCACCATTGCTAGAGATGAAAAAAATATTTTATGTTGCGCTAAGTGCAAATTGTTATTTCACAGCTGTAAAATTAGCGATAAAGACTTTGAGGCTCAAAAAAAGCTTGGTATTGTGCTATTTGCGATCAGGCTAAAAAGGATACGACAGGCAGTGAAAACATTGATCAAAATCGCACCACAGAACCGACACCATCAGAAATACTGGTGATAGTACAGCGGCTTGATAAATATGTGAATGAAGAGATAAAAATTAACAGAACCTCCTTTCTTCTTCCCAATTACCAGTCTCCTTATCGTCGCATGATCTAATCCAAATATCACACAATATCCAAACTCCTCCGATCCTACCTAGAACCATAAAATTCCGTAACCTTGATAACCTAACTCGAGAATAAATCTTACCCAGCCTAGAAACCCTAGATTGGAATAGATTATATTTCTGTTTGACTTTTGATGCCATGGTGGATATCCTCACCTCCAATCTTCTTAATATCCTCGAAGCCTACGCCCCTCTCAAAACCTCTATCTTTCATCGCTGTCCTGCTCCCTAGATATGTCAGCAAAGCAAATTAAGGATCTTTAGAAGAGGCATGATTCTATCCGTAGATGCTTTAGGCGTACTAGACTGGCCGACGACTATCAAGCGTTTAGAGTGCTCCGCAACCTGACACAAACCATAATCGGACGAGCCAAATCGACCTATTTCCATGAAGCCCTTTCATTAGCTCCCAATTCCAAATCGAAATGGCTACTCCTTCATAAACTCTCCCTCTGTGAATCTTCTAGATCCTCTCCCTCATCAGTATTTCAAATTTCACCAGATGATTTAAACTCATATTTTATATCTGCTTCCTCTTCCGCTCCTCCTTTTAATGCTTCCTTCTCTTCTCCCGGTACATCCTTCAATGACGATGATTTTAACTTTTCAGACATCTTGCCCAGAGACCTCATATCCGCCGTGATGAAATCACATTACAATTCTATTGGTCCAGATGGCATTCCGTCCAAATTAATCAAACTATGCATTCCCAAAATCCTTCCTGTTCTCCTATTTGTATATAATTTCTCCTTTCAAAACTCAGTATTTCCTACCTCATGGAAGAAAGCCACCGCTCGTCCTTTAGATAAAAATTATAACTCTTCTTCTCCCAAAGATTTCTGTCCGATTTCAATCCTTTCCAACCTTTCAAAACCCCTTGAAAGAATAGTGCAATCCCAAGTTTCCAATTTCCTTAAACATTCCAATCAACACGACCCTGTCCAATCTGGATGAGAAAAACTAACTGTTCTTGTACTCCTTGACTTTTCTGAAGCTTTCGATACCATTAACCATTCCATCCTCTTTTCCAAATTAAATCATTATCCTTTTCCAACAGCGCTATTCTTTGGTTTCAGCCTTTCCTCTCTCAACGTTCCCA